TCTCTCTCTCTCTCTCTCTCTCTCTCTCTCTCTCTCTCTCTCTCTCTCTCTCTCTCTCTCTCTCTCTCTCTCTCTCTCTCTCTATATATATATATAATTTTTTTTTTCCGGAATTTTCAGGAAAGTCCACTTTCATCTCTGAATAAGGAACAATACTAAAGGTTTCCCCTGAACAAAGGACCTTTCTTTCTGATGATTTGTTGATGTGTGCACGATAGTGCGAACTACTGCCGAGGAGGACTCGGATGTCTGAAATTTATTTATTTATTTTCTGAAAAGTATTGGCGGCTGCTATCGTCAGCCTCCTCCAGTACCCAGTACCTTAAAATCAGGCCGGTATCATACCCATACCCGGTATCGGTGCTCGTCCATGCCTGACTTGTAACTAGAAAAATCCGTAAACAGAGTCACCCATATCGCAAGGACTCACCGTATACTGGCAGCCATAGTATAAAGTAGTACCGAAAGTTGTTTATTGTAGTGGAAATTTTATAATTAACAGTGTTAACTTGTATCACATATCATGCTATCTGTAAGGGTTGCCATGCAAGCTCGTTGCTGTGCGAGTTTATGATTTTCCTCTGCTTTATAAATGTAGATGCAAAACAGCATCAGCTGCAAACAGATGTCAAGAAGGGGGGAACCCTCCCCATCTCATGCTCATGTTTTTCAACGGTCGACTGCGTCTGACCAATGACAATCAAGTATTGTGTAACATAGCCATATGGGCAACGTGTTTAAAGTTTGTTTTACCCTTTAACTCCTCCCAAAAAGAAGAAAAATAGTGTTAAGAGGAGCTGCGCCCCACTGCTTGGGGAGTCGCTCCATCACCGATCTGTAAATGGTGTTTCTCCATCAATTGTAGCTGAAATAAATCTTGTCGTTTTGTCGTCTTGGTAGTGGCCAAGTGTGAGTTCTTCAATGCGGGCGGCAGTGTCAAAGACAGGATCAGTCTGCGCATGGTGGAGGACGCAGAGAGGGCGGGTGTCCTCAAACCAGGAGACACCATTATCGAGCCCACCTCTGGGAACACTGGTAAGTGAGCGCACATGTTTGTGTTCACAAGTGCATGCGTTGCTATGACAAAAGGTATTTTAATGAGATGAAAGCAGAAGCCTCATAAATCTTGTTTGCTTATTTTGAGGCATTGGATTGGCTCTTGCCGCAGCCGTGAAAGGCTACCGCTGCATCATCGTCATGCCGGAAAAAATGAGCATGGAGAAGGCGAGTTTTTTCTTGGCCTCACACTCACTTCTTCTGCCCTTTTGAGACTTGATTGTGAACTTTCATTAAAAGACCCTTTCTCTATGTAGGTGGATGTCCTGAGAGCACTTGGAGCCGAAATCGTGCGCACACCGACCAGCGCTCGCTTTGACTCCCCCGAATCCCACGTGGGAGTTGCCTGGCGCCTGAAAAACGAGATCCCCAACTCCCACATCCTGGATCAGTACCGCAACCCGAGCAACCCTCTGGCTCACTACGACACCACAGCTGAAGAAATCCTGGAGCAGTGCGACGGTACGAGACATCCACGCCATGACAATCAAATACAAATACCGCACTCTGATGGCCTGTTGGGATCGCTTGCTTGATTCTCTCTCTCTCTCTCTCTCTCTCTCTCTCTCTCTCTCTCTCTCTCTCTCTCTCTCTATATATATATACATATATATAGGTAAACTGGACATGCTGGTGGCAGGAGCTGGCACTGGAGGAACCATTACAGGCATTGCCCGCAAACTAAAGGAACGTTGCCCCAACATCAAGGTAATCAGTTCCCAGAAATTACAAACTACAGTCGGGATTATTATGTAGATCCATCCATTTTCTTCCACTTATCTGGGATGATGTCATGTGGGAAGCGGTTTCAGCAGTGAAGCCCCGACTTGCTTATCCCTGGCCACTTTATCCAATACTTCTGGGGGTATCCCAAGGCGTTCCCAGGCAGCCCTGGAGACATAGTACCTCCAGCATGTCCTGGGTCACACCAGCGACCTCCTACTGGTGGGACATGCCCGGAACACCTAACTGGGGAGGTGCCTAGGAGGCATCTGAATCAGATGCCCGAGCCACCTCATCTGGCTCCTGATGATGTTGATGAGTAACAGCTCTACTCGATGGCCCTCCCGGATGAATGAGTGTTTTGCTTCATCTCTAACGAACTGCCCAAACACCCAGCAAAGGAAAATACTTTCAGTCGCTTGTATCTGCTATCTTGTTCTTTCGCTCATGACCCAAGTGAGGGGAGGAATGTTGAGAGTTTTGCCTTTCAGCTCTGATCTTTCTCCACCTCGACAGACCATTACGGCGTCAACATCACTGCAGACGTCGATGTCCTGGTCCATTCTTCCCTCACTCATGAACAAGACTTAAAGGGATGATCCCGCCAGGATGTCCCATTTCTTTACTCACAAACTTGGGTTATGTAAAATTTGATCAGGACATTTTTATTAGCCTGCATTTTCAAGTTCTATCTATCACTTTGTTTTGGAGAAATTACTCAAAATCAAACCACTCTCAAAGCGCCCCTTTCTAGTCCGCAATATAGCCACAGTCCGCTGGTATCGCTCCTGACAGGATGACTAACCAGTTGGTTGGATGGACATGGCCAAAAGCCAGCCAATGTTTTCTAATGAAACAGCTCGTTGTCACTGTGTGGCCCAGCGAAAGATCTTGATTCTACCTTGTTAGAAGAATGCGTGAATCCGATGTGTCAACTGTCAGCTCGGACTAACTTTGGAAGGTGCGTCTTTAGATTGTTTGTGTGGACCCATTAGGCTCTTGCCTCGCAGAGCCAGAAGAACTGAACAAGACGGATAAGACCCAGTACGAGGTGGAGGGCATCGGCTATGACTTCATTCCTACCGTACTCGACAGATCGGTGAGTTGCACCGGCCTTTCCCGACTTTTCTTCACGTGTGCTTGTTTGTCTGTGATAGCCACTGATGTCTTCATTTGGTGTTGTCAGGTTATTGATAGCTGGTATAAGTCCAATGACGAGGAGTCCTTCAATATGTCTCGAATGCTGATCAGGGATGAGGGCTTGCTGTGCGGTAAGCGCTTGCACATCCCAACCAGAAACATACTCGAAGTAACAGTAAATATTATCACCACCATGCTAGCTTATCTTGGCAGTGAAGTAATTGTGTGTTAAATAGGGGGGAGCTCTGGCACCGCAATGGCAGCGGCTGTCATTGTTGCCAAAGAATTGAAAGAAGGACAGCGCTGTGTGGTCATCCTTCCAGACTCCGTCCGAAACTACATGTAAGGCATCAATTAGTTATAAAGCAGGCCGGTACGGTCGCTCGCGGGGTTCGGCAGCTGCCTAAAAGTAAGAAGGCTGTTAGATTGGGGTTTTGGATATCGGTTCAAATTTCTCCACTCACCACCTTTTGCAATTGTTTTCCTTATTTAATAATTAACACATTTTCCCTTGAAGTGTACCATATTTAGACCATATTGGTCTGCTTTTGCTATAGTTTTGGAATAATAGCTCGTCTTCACGTTTATTTATGATTTGGCCTGACATAAAGGTATATTCTTCACCGATGGGTGTATTCCATTGATGTCAAGCAGTGACAGAGTATATCCAATCGGTGCATCCTATGCATTCACATAAGGTGTGATGTGTGTCCGATTTTTATACATATTTGGATTAAGCCTAATTTTCAATCATGCACTGAAGCATGTCTGAAATGTACCACCTGAGCCATAAAGTATGAATCCAGCCTATGTGCTCATCCTGTGATTGGCAGGTGATCAGTCTCATCCTCATGACCCTGAACAGGTTAATCAGCATACAAAATGGGTGGCTCTAGAGGGCCCAGAAGTTTTTTTTTTCACCAATGTATCAAACCATTTTTGATTAATCATGAGCTCTGATGAATTGGATTGAGTTAGAAAAAAATGAATTTACAAATGCTTTCTACAAGGTCCAAATTCCTGAGCGACAAATGGATGGTGCAGAAGGGCTTCCTGAGCGAGAAGGAACTCATGGTGAAAAAACCCTGGTATGTTGCAAGTTCCATTTTCATCCCGAGCAAATCTCAACGTGCAGTCCTTTCATATGTAAATCGGACATTCACTGAACAGATGCACAATCTCTCTCGTTGGTCAGGTGGTGGAACCTAAACGTGCAAAATTTGAACCTGTGTGCACCTCTCACTGTCTTGCCAACTGTAAGCTGCCAGAGGACAATCAAAATCTTGAAAGAGAAGGGCTTTGACCAGGCGCCCGTGGTGGATGAGTCCGGGTGTGTGACCTGGTAGCTCATAAATGGAAAATGTTTACCATGGTGAAATGCTTCATTGTGCGTTTTTGTCCCGATGTTTAGGGTCATCCTGGGTATGGTGACTTTGGGGAACATGCTGGCTTCTATACTTGCAGGGAAGATCAAGCTGTCCGATCCGGTTAGCAAAGTGCTCTACAAGCAGTTCAAACAGGTTGGACTAAATTATTGCTTTGACTGAAAGGCTTCATGATCCTTTTGAAATCAAATTCCTGATTGGTTTATTTTCTTTTCATAGTTCTAGTCAAGACTGGGCAATAAAGCCTTGGTTTTCCACAGCATCTCGTTTGTTTATTGATTTGAATGCTTAGTTACTTTCATTGTCCCCTTGCATCATCATTTCAGATCCGCCTGTTGGACAACTTGGGAAAGTTGTCCCGAATTCTGGAAATAGATCACTTTGCCCTGGTGGTTCATGAGCAGATCCAGTGTAAGTTGTCTAAACATTTTTCTCCAGACTACCTGAAAAACTACACTTGTGTGTTTTAGATCACACAACTCAGTATTTACAATTTGAAACCGTTTCCACATGTCTAAAGAACACAACCGTGGCATGCTTGTGGCAAAATACTCCAAGGATAAAACAAAACAAAACAAAACAAAAAAACACACAGCACATTTGATGCCATGGTAAAATAGGCTCATTGTATGCTAAGCGTATTTGCGGTGGCCGCCTGCTTGCTTACACTTGAAGACGCGAAGTCAGAGTGTGGAAAAAAAGTGAGCGCTTCAAATAAATTTTTGTGGGGCGTGGGCACATGTCCAAACACAAACACTCCCCGCCCGTCAACAATTTCATGAAGCAACCCAGTGCGTGCCGTTTATATGAGTGTTGTTTATTAGACGCTAACACTAACATATAATACTACTTACTAACTTGATGATAATGCTGCTCCCCCTGCTCACCACACATACCGGTACTTTAAAGGTCAGGTATGAAGTAAACTTGGCCGTTGGGTTAGTTTTTTCAACACAACCCACCAAAGATCATCGTTAGACACATAGTAACGCGCTTAACAACGAAAATGCTTGTGGTGTGCAATCATATGATGTCATTTAGAAAATGCAGAGTCGCCAGTTAGCCACTGTACTGCATTGTTGATTGTCCCGCTAACAACTCTTTGCTATTGTTATCGGGTTATTTGGTGAAATACCTCTGCGCTGTGTGGCGATGCGCTTTACACATTCAGACACACATACCGGTACTTTAAAGGTCAGGTATGAAGTAAACTTGGCCGTTGGGTTAGTTTTTTCAACACAACCCACCAAAGATCATCGTTAGACACATAGTAACGCGCTTAACAACGAAAATGCTTGTGGTGTGCAATCATATGATGTCATTTAGAAAATGCAGAGTCGCCAGTCAGCCACTGTACTGCATTGTTGATTGTCCCGCGAACTACTCTTTGCTATTGTTATCGAGTTATTAGGTGAAATACCTCTGCGCTGTGTGGCGATGCGCTTTACACATTCAAAGAGTTGTTTGAGGGGCCAAAAGAAAAAAAAAATAGGTCACAAAAACGGACCAGAAAATTGGAACGATGCAGTTTCGTTCTCGCAAAGCAAATGAATTTCACGCCAGTGTCTACGAGCGTTCTTTGTTAGAAGCACTTAGAAGACAGCTGCTTTCTCAACTGGATTTGAAAAATGGTAGGTGTGCTAATCAATGAAAACTCTGGCTGTTGTTTATGAAAACATCTGATTCAAAGTATTATACTGTACGTGTCCATGGATGTAATCCTGTATGAAAATATTTCAAACTATATCAGTGCAATGGATGAAAGGCACTATCAATGGCTTTATTTATTCAGCATCTTTTCAATTTACCATGCGAGTCCTGCACTTAATGCTTGTCTTTTCCATTCTACTTCTGTTTGGTCCCAGGCCGTGAGCGGCGGGAGCGGTCTTTCTCAGATTCAACGGATGAGATGTGACTGTGAATGATGCAGAGCAGTGCTTGTACAGTTCTTCCAACGTCATCTTGTATTACAGACGTGTTGAGTTAAATTTTTTTTCTCAAGTATGATTTAAAAAAAAGTACGTACATAAATGTTAAGTGTTGAAAATGTTACTCCATTCATATAACTGACGTTGGATCTTTTTTCAAGAAATTGGTTATTAAGAAGTAAATCTGCTTGCTGTGCATAAAGGGTTGTTTGTTCCAGTAGAAAGCTTTTGTTTGTTATTAATGTAAATGGTTGAAACTTTGGTTTGAGAAAAGGGATATAAGAATGAAGACTATGATGGTTAGCAAAACGTATTTAATGTTGATATTCATTTCTAGTTACAGTGCATGCATTTGCTGCTTGTGCGTGGATGCAGAACATGTATTTTGAGTATTCTAAAGGAGGTATTTTTGCGTTCCAACACATTGCCACTAGTTTCGAGGTGTAGGGGGAGAAAGTTGTTTTTATTTACTTATTGTAATGTAATTCATGTTGATGGTTCAATAAAGATGGTGCATTCAGTTTCAACTTTCATTTGACAAGTCTTAAATCATGCATCTTCAGATTGCTATGGAGGACCTAGAGTGCCCAGAGGAGGACCAAGGGTGCCCAGATTAAATCAATAAATATCCATCCACTCATTCATTATCTGCTCCGCTCATGAGTGTCATGGGCATCAATCAATGTATAATTTAATAAATGTGTCATGTTGCATTTCTGTATCAATTAAAATATGTAATTTAGATTTTGTTTTGGGCAATCATCCATAAACTAGATATGTAATTAAACATCGAAATAGATGTTAGAAATAAATCCTGACATTGAAATGAACTTAAAAACATATCCATCCATTTTCAACACTGCTTATCTGGAAGAGGGTCGTAGGGAGTTGCTGGACCCTATGCCAGCTGACTTTGGGCGCAAGGCAGACTACACCCTCAGCTTCTCGCCAGTCAGTCGCAGAGCACATAAAGAGACAAAACATTCACACAGACATTGAGTGCAACCGATCCCACTTCCCGCACACAAATCCGGCGTGTGTACCACTACACTATCAGCCACTCTTCAAACAAAATACATGTAACTATTAAAGTAATTCTTGAAATAAATACTGAAATGTATTTGATGAAAATTGTTTGGCAAGTTATCTAATTTTGGCACTCCTGTAGTCCTCCAAAGATTACTTCAAGCGGAGTTTTCTTTACACGCGTGTGTATGGTGTCAAGATTGTGCACAGGAGGCGCTCTCAAAAAACGGCATGATTTATTTGACGAGGGAATATGACGTCATCACGCCCGCATCCTAGCAACAAAAGAGAAGGCACAGCAAAGCGGAAGGAAGCTAATTGCTAAGTGCCTCGTTCGCAATGTAAACAAACATATTACTCGTTTTGATATTGCGCTCTTTTAAAACCCGACTCTCGGTTCAGGGTGAAGCCAACTCTTACTCAGAAGGTAACTAGCGTGTGTCGAGACTAAGACGAGTTCAACAAGCTGCGGTTATCGCCAGCTCGAAGCGCTAGCGTTAGCTTCAGATAACGGTTTTCGGAGTTTTTGGGCTATGTATTCAACGTCGCCGAGGTTACCAGTAGAAATGATGCTAAGCATTTAAATGGCTATTTAAATGGCTATTAAAGACTTGTCATAATGTAGTTAGGGTAACGGTCGCCACTCAACGCGACTGAAAAGGGACTCCTGAGGTTCGATGACCACTTGACTGCAGACGCCCGCACTTGGCCTGACATGTTCAGCCTCATGGCGAATTGTTGTACCTGGCTGAAACGCTGGCGAGAGCCGGCAAGGTAAGTTAAATTTTGCTTTAAATATGTTCACAATTCAAGAAAATCGTTTTTATTTGTTCAAGCGATTTTGACATTAGCTTTGATTTGCAGTTGTGTCAACTCTGTAGCCCCTGAAAATGGGCGATGTTAAATTAAATAATTATCAATTGGTAAATCTAAATTTTTATTCCAATAATAAACATTGCCGTGGCGCCAGACTTAACCATGTTAAAAAGTCGTCTCACAAAGTAACATCGGGGTTATGGTATACATCAGAGAACTGTTATCGTTGTCAAAGCCTCATCATAATACATACCGTAATTGTCCCCTGTTGTATGTGAAACATCAAATCAAAAGTTTGTTTTTAATGTTATAATTACCCAATTTGGAGCAATGTCAACATGGAAAAAAAGAATAGAAACCAACAAAATGTTGGATGCAACTCACTGGTAAGAGGTGCAATTTTTTTTAAAGGATAGTAACACCCAAAAAATTAGACGCATCTCACAGGACAGCCGTTTTTCGCATAGCCCCGCGGACTACTTTTGTGGCCCTTGGGAGGCTACTTGGTCCTCAAAGGCACCATCTTTGTGACCTCTGCCATACACTGACAGGCACTATTAAAGCCATCCAACATGCTGGCTCATAATACAAGACAGAAAAGAAATTCGGCACACAGACTAAGTACAAACAAATGACACATATAATCACGGAATTTTAGTGAAGGAATTCATGCGTTGTAGACCTGCTCCATTTGTAAAGTTCCGTGTATTTTTCTTTGATATTTCTTTGATATCTCATTTTCTGTCTGCACCTCTTTTAAACAGTGCCACCTAGAGTTCAGTTTGAGACACGGCATAACTAAAATGCCTTTTGTTACAGGCCTTAAGTGTGGCGAGACTGCTAGAAAAACATGCAGTTGTTTGTTAAATGTCAGAAATGACAAGATGTTGTTCTAAAAAGTGTTGTATTTGAGTGAAACGTGTGCCATGGTCGAGAAAGGTGTTTTTGAACAATATTTGGTTAAAATAAATCACATTTTCATTGCCCTTCTCAATTGTTTTATCAGCAAATATTCAAATGTACCTGTGCATCCTTTGCTAAAATACATGTCATTATGGTTGTTTTGGACCAGAGAGAGCACACAGTGTGTTACATAAGCTTCCCTTCGTGGTACACTTAAGAATCGCTGAATTAAATGCAAATAAGCTAAAATAGATTTAATACATGAAATATACAGCTAAACATGTTAGAATGGACGAAAATGTCTTCGCAACAACCGATGCCAAGTAAATGAAGGGAGGTACAAATGAAAGTACAATAACAGTTAACGTTGTTTTTAACTTTTAAGTACAACACCTGCCTGTTGATCTTTAAAGCGCCCATCTCATTGAGCGATGAACAATTGCGACTGTTTTCAAAGGCAGCGAATGCTGCATTCACGTCACAGTTCGTCAGGGTTTGTTCAAGGTCACAAATGTTCGCCAAACAGTCGCCGGATGTTCGCCAGAATTTTCCTTTGCAACAAGAAAAAATGTCTACCGAATGTCATGCGACCGTTTCACAAACATTTGTGACCTTGGCCGAAACTTGACGAACTCTGCCGACAACGCAACATTCACTGTTTGCCGCTGACTAGGATTGAGAATGGTTTGTTTTCAAACATTCAGGTACAACTTGAATGTGATAAATTTTAATAATTAATTTTTGGATTTTTAAATTTTTTTTTTTATTTGGATTAATTATTTTCCTCTCTTAAAGCAGAGTGTTAAAGTTCCAACTATGAATAGTGTTACAATGGCATACTTTTTAGGAATAAAACATCTGTCTCATTTTTTTATTAACACTTAGGCCTACTGTACTACTTT